CCCGTGGCCGCAGCCGCGGGGGCGGGAGCCTCGGTGTGCGCCCTGTCCATTCTCCCCGGGAATCTAGCATCCCTTTGATGCTAGAAGGCGCCGTGGACCAACGCGACTTTTTCCTTTTTCTGGCAAATTTGAGCAGATCCGCGGATCTCACCCGCTTTATTCGATCGCGGTTGTTCTGTGGTCCTGGCAGGCAGGCCCAGGTTCGTAAGGTCGATTCCCACCCGCAGCGACCCAGGCACAACGGAAGGGAACATTGCCCGGCCTGCGTCTTCCTCACGATTGTCCTTGTGTTGAGTCCACTGCTGAGGCCCCTGCGTGCGTCCATCTCCTGGAGGGCCTTTTTTTCCCGCCCCTCCACTTCATCCAGCATGATGCCCGCCTGATAGCGCATGACCAAGTCTCAGTCCTTGTCTCCAAAGAGCATTCTGGCTGCTCGTCTTCCCAGATGTAGTTACTCTTTTCGCAGTGCATGGTGCTTTGAGTACTCTTCACCGCACCGTAGTGCAAATGCATCGATTCTTCAGTCTTCTTTATTTATTCAATGTCCAACTTTCACATGGAAACCACCCTGGGCTTGGGTCAGGGGCGCCTTCGTCCTCAAAATAACACCCTAGCTTCTTCACACGCTCAACAGGTCTTCTGCAGCCGACCTACCCTAGGCAACAGCTCATTCGATCTCTTGCCTGCTGATTGTGGATCTCAGCAAGACAAAATCCTGGACAGCGCCAATCTTTCCTCATTTACCGTGATGGTGTCTATTGATCTAGTTGTGGGGATTTGGGGTCTTCTTTAGATTGGGTGGTGATCCAAACTGATGAATTTGTGTATTGCAGGGTGTGCATGCGCTTTCCTCCGATCCTGGGGCTACATTTGACTGCACATAGCCCAGCTTCTTGGAGGATTTGCTCAGCACACGCGCTGAGCAGGGCTTTTTATGCTCTGGTGTGTCTGGCGTCCCCTTCTCTCTGTGATGCAGTAGGGACACAGGGTTTATACGCGTGAGGTTCTGGGAAAGACTGAGGAGATGGCAGTGCAGCCGGCTGGTCTTTGGCTGGAGTAAACGTGAAGGAACTGGCAGGGTTTCTGAGAAACGTTGATGGGGAGGAAAGAGCTCAAAGACAAAGACTTTTACTAAACATCAAGGTCACAGCTAGCACGCTCCCTTCACGTTGCCGGCTGCCTTCCATCCCGACTCTTGGTGACCTCAGACATGCACAACAGGCCTCCTGTGTGGGGCTTTCCAGGCTGAGACCCTTTGGAAGCAGATTGCCAGACCTTTCTTCTGAGGCACCTCTGCATGGCGACCAGCCACTACTAGGTTGCTGGTCAAGCAGACTGCTTCACCATTTTTGCCACCGATTTAAAGATTCTAAGTAGCCATTGGTTGAGGCAAGAAACTGCCATGA